AAAGAATGAGTGAGAGAGGGAGGGAAGAGTGTCCAAGCGCTTGGCCTGTCCTTCTCTTCCTTCACCTTGCAGAGGCTGGAAGATGGCAGCCCCCGGACTGGGGAGATCTTCAGGCAGACCTACAGCAAGTTTGACATAAACTTGCAGAACGATGATGCACTGCTCAAGAACTACGGGCTGCTCTACTGCTTCCGGAAGGACATGGACAAGGTTGAGACATTCCTGCGCATTGTGCAGTGTCGCTCTGTGGAGGGCAGCTGTGGCCTCTAGCTGCCGCGTGGCATCCCTGTGACCCCTCCCCAGTGCCTCTGTTGGCCCTGGAAGGTGGCACTCCAGTGTCCGTCAGCCCTGTCCTAATAAAACTAAGTTGCATCATTTTGTCTGACTAGGTGTCCTTCTCTAATATATGGCATGGGGGGTATGGAGTAAGGGGCAGGTTGGGAAAACAACCTACATGGCCTGTGGGGTGTATTGGGAGCCAGGCCCCTGAAACATAATGAACTTGATCTCCCTGGGCCAGAAGGAAGCCGGCACAGCACTGCTCTCTATTACTAACTGAGGCCACTCCACCAGATTAGTGCTCCCAGCTTGCTGGTCACAGCCCACTGGTCATCCCGGTGATGTTTTGAAGGCATTTCTTCTTCCCCAACCATCACCAGCAACACCAAACCTAGCACCCTAGGAGTGGGAATAAATGAAAACAAGATCAGGTATTAATCGCAGAAGCAAAAATTCCCCAAAGAGTGAGAAAACAATGTCATAGAATTACTAGTGTGCAGAAGAATTTTAAGATGAATATTCCTTAAGCGCAACTACACTTGGGAAATGAGAACGATGTAAAAAGGAGTTTGAGACATACAGAACCAGGACATTTGGGATCTGAATTAGGGCAAGGGAACTGGAAGAGACATTTTATTTGGGTTTCCAAATGCAGTGGCAGCAGGTGCCAGATAGATAACAACGTAAGCAATGAGGACTGGATGGGAAGGGATAAATCCCAGCTGATACTCGCTTCCCTTAGGAAGATGCAATGGAGAGGGGTGGGAACCAGCACCACCTGCAGAACTCATGGTCCACATCTACGTCCCCAGCACTGGCTCAAAGGCCCTGTCATGGGGGCTCCATGTCCCAGTTGACATTGGGGGAAGGATGGTGGGGGATGCAGAAAGCTACGTGGAGCTCAGGGACCCTCCTCCATTCCCACCTGGCTCCTCCTCTTTGGTGGTGCTGGAAGGAGCTGGGGTAAGTGATATCTCCACCCTCCCAGGGATCCCATGTTTCTCAGAGCTGGTATCATTGATGACATCCCTCTCAGGTTCTCCCACAGGCCTGCCTGGAGAACAGCCTCCAGCCCAGTTCCCTCCAAGCACCTGATGAGCCTGGGGTGCTGGTTGGGTTGTGCTTCAACCGACCAGAAAATGAGCTGTGGCAGAAAATGAGCTCCGTCTTCTGCTCTGAAAAGAGGGAGGTGGCAGGTCCCAACATTCACATCCTTGACCACAGTGTTGTGGGTTTTCAATGTTGGTTGGCAACACCACTGCCAACCACTTCTACAAGCATCTGCTTATTTACTTGCTTGTGTTTCTACAGTGTCTCATGCTGGATGCCCTTAAACTCAGGGGTGAAAGGTTTCAGGGCAGCAGAGGGTGTTCTTTCCTGCTCTCATCTCTGGGGGCATCTGATGCTTGTGACCTCGAGATGATATTGAAATAGCCCCAACCCTGGGC